GGATTGAATAGAGCCCTAAGTGGACTGGTCTGGTGGACTCAGAGACAGATCTGCATTGAGCACCAGAGTCAATGCGGTGCTGTTTAGTGATGCCACTGCAGAACCATATCAATATCTTAGCTCAGTATCAGTAGTATAAGTACCTTTGTGACCTAGCTTATGGTCATAGTCCACTTTAGGTCTGTATCTCTGTGCACTCACAGTCTGATGCTGTCAGATATGGATATGGCTATGTCATCATGGATACTGACGTGAGATATCAACCAGAGAACTATGAACTGATGATAGGTGACCTACATCCATTGATTTACAATGGATATTTTATGGTAAATTAATATCACATTATAAAACCTAAGGCAGGTTGAAAAAACCTCCAGATCGTGAATTACAGATCCAGTCATTCCCACATCTGATTAAATACGTGATCATGTGTGGTTTGAAACAAGACAGGACATGGACTATACCTCAGCTGGGATCCCAGAAAAGGGAGATGTGGGAGTGTTGGTTAATCTGGAGGAGAAGGTGGGAGTAGGCCGCTCTTGGCGCCCGCTTCATTGTGCGATGCGGGGTCACCATAGGTCAGAAGTGGTAACTACTGATTACGTCATCGTGCTGGGATATATAGAGGGACTCCGTCAGTCTGTCAGACACATTTTCTGTCTGAGACGGGAAAACAGGTAAGATTAAACCTACATTTCACTCGCATTTCTAGAGACTTGTTTTCTTTGTTATAACTTCAAATGTAAATATCTTTGCATGTTTTTGGTCTTATCAAAGCAAACACATAAGCTGGTATATCTGCGACTTTTGTTCATCAGTTTATTTGCACGAGAATGCAGTTCTTTATTTTATACCCAAAACTTTCCGTTAGTCTATACCAGGCTCTCAAAATCTGTATGCGGTATTGTGGCGACATCTAGGTGTAGTTTATACAAGCAGGAAAGACATTCAGCCTACCTTCTGTTTCTGAGCGCCATCCAATGCTCAGGACAGATATTCATAGAAACAATTATTCTGTTAGTTTACTAATTTGATCAGGTCGAGTTTAATGTAAAATGTAAGCCTATCAAAAGTGTTGTTCTTGCTCATGTAAAGTCACCAATCGAAGTTGTGTGTAGGCTAGAGAACGCAAAGGGAGCTGTCCACTGTGCTGACCGCACGGGTGCGCTCTTTCACTAGATACATGTGCACATGTTTCAGACAACGGTTTCAACCCTATAACACTAACATAACAGCTGTTGGTCATTTATTAGGACAATAATAATAAGATGGCTTACGTTTCACTTTTTTAGCACAACTCCTGACGAAACCCTGATGGCATTATGCTTAGATTTTGTTTTAACTCATAACTGACTCATCATGAAAACCTTTTTATGATGGAGGATATTAAAGGCAGGGTGTTTTGTAACTAAATAAACGTGTTTGTCCTTCCCTTGCAGCCAACAGTCAAGATGAAACTGTCCATTGCCATTGCTGTGTTGATGCTTGTGTTCGCCGCACACACAGGTATAAAGCCCTACCCTATTAGGCAGCCATTACACTCTCATTCCATCTAATCATTACCGTTGCTCCTTCACCTCCGTCTCTCTCTCTCTCTCTCTCTCTCTCTCTCTCTCCTCTCTCTCTCTCCTCTCTCTCTCTCTCTCTCTCTCTCTCTCTCTCTCACACACACTCTCTCTCTTTCTCTCTTCTTAATGAAACCCTCTGTCTCCCCTTCTTCCTGTCTCTTTCCCCTTCTCTATTCATAAATATAAAACTCTCCCCTTCTGTTCATAGTTCTAACCCTGTGTCCCTTTTCTCACTCTACAGAGGCTCAGGAGGCTGAGAAGACCATTGAGGAGCATTTCGCCACCTTCGGCAATCAGATGAAGGAGCTAACTGATGACCTAACTGTCAAGTCCAAGGACCTGGTTGAAAAGATCGGAGACAGCGAGTTCGCCACCAAAACAAGGTACACACGCACCCACGCACGCTCACGCATGCACACACACACACACACCAAAACATAACCCAACATTAAATTAATTGAAGATGTACATTAATACACTGAAATAATTAAAGACTGAAATGACTCACTGTGTGTCTGTCTCCCCGTCTCAAGGAACTGGTTCACTGAGCAGTTTGACAAGATGAAGGTCAAGTTCGACGAGACCTTCCCCAAGCAGTAGTAAGCCTGTACACCTCTGACCCTGCCTATCTGTGACCAATAAGACCCCCCCCCCCCCATCACGCTTCTTGCTCTGTCTTGCCTGGTGACGCGGTTGCTGTGATGCTGACACATACGTTATGCCGACAGACACAAAGGTTATATTCCCCCTCTGTGAAGAGACCGACGTTATCTCTGTGTAATTGTTATGGCTTTCTTTAATAACCTGGATCACAATGAGTTGAACAATAAAGATACATTTGTGATAAAACTATATTTGTGGGTTGTTGTATTACGCATTTGATTTGCATACAGTAAGAAGTCAAACCTATTCATTTTTAAAGAGGCCAATTAATACATGCAATGCGAAGTTATTCTGAACAATGAGTTTGATTGGCATTTATTATATTTGACGTGTCTCTTCAACTAATATCTGGGGGCACATAAGGATATGAAGACCTGTACAAATAATACAGACAGTATGCATAACATGTATAAAAAACTGTGCACAAAGACCACACATTCACTTCCTCTCTGTTTATGATGCATTGTGGGATAGGTGTAGGATGTTAATGTGGTCAACGTGAATGGTCAGCTGACCAGTTTGTCACATGGGTTAAAAACACCATCATGGTGGCCAGAGAAATAATTAGTACATTCTGACTGAACACATGTAATTTCACATTTTGCCCAGACACTTCTCTAACTGAGATTCAGCAGTAGCACAAGTGTCTGCCAATGGCCACTTTCTTCCGTTCAGCATGTTGGTTGTGTGCATTCTTGAAAAGTGTCTCTATGAACAATGTTCAATCTCTTGAAACATAATGTTCCTGTGCTAAGATATGCTTCCACTAAAAAAAAGATACAAACTTGTGTCACAATCATAAATGGACTCTGGATTTATGCTGTTATTGAGCTCTCCTTAACAATGAACAATATGTAATGCAATGCAATAGACATACTTTGATGCTCTGGATATCATGTATCACTCTGGAGATCTACACATCAAAAACTTTATTGAGAGGTAGTAACCCGGTCAAATAATTCTGCAGAATTAACTAATAGCAGAGAGTGATCTTTGAGAGAGAGAGTGGTCTATCTATGTCAATAGCAGCCACCAAAGGGCAATTGCCAGCACTACACTGGCTGCTGGTCCTCCATTTCACAAGGCTCCGGCTAAAGTCACTGTTTATCCTGAGTCAATGATTACTATGCTGTCCCTGTTTACTGGAATCTGCTCCTGTGTTTGACTAGATGTCATGGGGGTAGGGGGGGTAGAGGGGGTCCAGGTGGCAAGAGGGTTGTGCACCCCAAAAGGTAATACTCATATTTGTACCCTATTTTCTGGTGGAGTGTCATAATAGTGGGCAGCTTTAATCTGCTCTCCGTACCATCTTCTCACAACAACCAACTATTGTGCTGTCTGTCGACAGGACCAGAGGTGAAGAGGCGAATGGACAAAGCAATAGTGGGAAAACAAGATTTGAAAATGACATCAACAGTTGGTCATGTATCAGTGTATCATTCAGCATTGTGACTGAAAAAGTGTTGCAAAGATAGAGAGAGAGGGAGAGAGAGAGAGAGAGAGAGAGAGAGAGAGAGAGAGAGATAGAGAGGGTATTCTGAAGTGGACAACTCTCTTGAGTTCTGCTGACTGGGACCATTGGGTCTAGTCCAAAACAGTACTCTATTTCATTCACCTGCTGTCTTCTTAATAAATCTATCTGGTGCATAGGGACATAAAGACTTTGCCTGGTCTGAATATTTACCAGCTAATATGTCCACTCATCAGGAATGTTGGACAGGTATCCAGACAATGTTGAAATTGAAAAGATAAGAGATTAATGTAACCTTTTGGCAAATACAAGGATGAAATATTAAAATTAAAGGCTTTTTTTAAATGTGTTGCGAGGAGTTAGTGTTTCTTTTCGGCAACATTTGATACTGTAGCAGCTGACACAAGTAATTTATCTTATTTCAAGATATTTCAAGGTAAAATATCTTGAAAAATATCTTGAAATAAGAGAAATTACTTGTATTAAGCCTTTTCTATTGTAAAATTAGCAAAATTATCTGCCAATGACATTAGATAATTTTGTTTGATAAGAAAAATAAACAATTTTAAGGGTATTATCACTAAATATAAGATATTTAGGCTTGCTTACATTTCGTTTTTTTCAGTAAATGTACCCAGAAAATATTTTCTCAGAACTTAAATAAATAGAGAGTATCGAACCACTGGACTACTTACGACTGACTCACTGATCATCCAAGCCAATCCAATCAGTCCACCACTTCCCACCCAAAAACAGACCATCGGTCAGTGGTCACCAAAACAAGAACAATGTACACGTGTAACCAAGAAAAAGCACTGTGAGAACTCCCCTAATTCAAATAAAGTGACTTGATTCCGCCAAACAGATTGGACAATACTGAGAACAAACACTAAGGTAAAATGCTCCCCTAAAATGCTCTTTCACTCACTTTGAATTGTGTAGTTTATAGCTGTTTTTATACTGGAGGCCAGCTGTTATGAGTGATACTGTTGATTACAGAATATAGTGATATATCATTTGAACATATGATTAGTTTTGTTTGGGTTGATGAAAAATTGAATGTACTGTTTATTGAATAATTTCATTAAATGTAATATCTCTTTTATAAGTGGAGTGTATATTAGTAATTTCCCTCCGTTTTTGCAGATGCCATAAATGATGTAGTTGTCTTTTGTATCAAGGTGACCATTTCAAACATTTTTTAGTCTGTTATTCATATCCATTGAATGCTGACATGACTGGTAGTATTTTGAGTATTTTCAACCACTTACATACTGTACCCTTTCTCCTCCATAGCATGTGTGTCCATAGTGGCCCAGACACCAGCCCCAGGGGACTCTGACTCTGAGGGGGTTCTGCAGCGGGCAACAGAGGCATACAGGTACAAACAGACACACACTCACTATGGCCGACCATGCCATTTTAAGGATAAAGACAAAAGGCCTGCACTCAGTAGATGCTGCTCCCAAGTGCTTTGTTCTTGTGTGTGTGTGTCTTACAGGGCAGCCAAAGTTAAAGCCCAGAGAATAGGAGAGGTGGTGCGGGCCTTTGCTGGTGCGTACTACGAGGACCACATCAAACCAGTGGCTGACCCCTACATGGACTGGGCCTCAGCCTCCACCAGTTCCTTCTGGGACAGAGTCAAGGAAAAGATCGACCAGTACAGACCCATCTAATGGCACCTGAATCTAAGGCAGACAAACACGCACCCAGCTCACTGCTAGCACATATACTCATGCAAGGTGATACTAGGACTGATTCTATGTTCATATGCACTAGGGATTACAAGTAGGACATTTGTGTTACAATGTTTTAGACGAGCACGTGAACACTGCTGTATGATTTGGCTGGTGAATGACGACACCCGTTTATTAGTGTTACACTAACCTCAGCACAAGGGTTGTGATAGTATTAAAACTGCCCTAGAGTGTAGTAGTAATCATACCGTTATCAAACAAGGGTCACATATTGCATCTGAGTGAGTCAATTAACTATTGTGAACCACCAAATTGAATCAGCACTAAATAAAAGAAAACATTCAATAATACCATTATAGTGTTGTGCCTTTTCATAAACTTTCCCTTGACAATGTCTACACTGCCCCCATTCATCAGTCTCTGAACTGAATGAAGTAGAAAGTTGAGAGAGACTGAGAATAGATTTTAGAATAGCAGAGAGAAAGCAACAGTGAACGACAAAGAGGGAGAGATAGAATGAGACCGAAAGAAAGAGACAGATGGATGGACAGACAGACAGACAAAGAGAGAGAGAGAGACAGACAGACATACATACAGAGACATCAGTGATGGGAGTGATGTCTACAGACTGTGCTGAAATCGAAGTGTTACCTAGGTGAGAGTTGACAGTTGAGATAAAAGGTTCAGCAGGTGTGTCTGGCAAGAGGGGAGATGTGTGTGACCTGCAGGCCGTTTCTTTCAGCTTTCTCTGTGTGGACTGCAGACATCGATCCTGGAACACAGTCAAGACACTCAGGGCCCTGTTCCATTCAATCAAAACCATAATCTGACTAACTGGGATACATGAAACACATTCAAATAGACAGTGAGAATGGACCTTAGCGTGAAAAAGCTGTTGAGATGATTTTTGTTATACATTGTGAAGAGAGTTTTGTTGTTGATTTCGTGAATTATGAATGTGTGCAAGATTAATGATTTTCAATGAGTTACATAGAGGCAGTCAAGCATACTGGTTTATGTTCCACACAAATGCTGACAAATCAATTATAATGCTTAACACGATCATTCATTCAAACAAAAATCTATTTCATGCACTGATATGTGAACATTTTTGTGGGGGAATTGACGCTTTCCTATGTATGCAGAAGAGTGCATAGCAGCATAAATAGATTTCAGAATCCAATCAAAGTGATAATCTGGATGCATTGCATCACTTGTCTGGACATACATATGAGGGGACTCAAGTGCAATGGACTTTGTGTAGGCGAACGAGTGTGTGGATGTTTGTCCCATAGGTACAGTGGGTTCTGGTGAGTCTGGGTGCGTGGGTGTGTGTGTGTGTGTGCATGTGTGTGTGTTTGTGTAGGTGTTTGTGTGCGTGCGTACGTACGTGTGTGCATACTCTTTAGATGACGTTTGTTTACACTCCTCCCTATATCATGGTGTCTACTTGTCCAGACTGCTTTACAGACAACTCAGCCACCAGAGAAGACTGTCATTTATTTCACTGGGATCTGTACACCCACTACAACAGGAGGTCATCTTTTTCTCTGTCTTCGCTCAACTTTTATAGATACATTATTTCAATGCTCTAGCAATCTCTAACATTTTTAATTAATTAATTAATTAATTATTTACTCATGTATTTTAAGATGCATCTTCCTTTTGTATCAGTTCTAAACAGCTCATCAGTTTCATTGATGCCTGATCAGAATGGTCTGGTTTCTTGTCTAATAAATAGGCAGGCATTGCATTGAACTTAATCTAAATAATGCATATAAAATCCTATTTGGTTTGTCTTTTTCTTTCAGAGATGAACGGAAAATTGGCATTAGCCTTCGTGCTTGCGCTTCAAGGTAAGACCTAGAACCTACAACACACATCCTGCAGAACTCAAAACAGATTTGTGTTTTTCTTTCAGAAATGATTGCTTATGGGTACCTTCATGTGTGTGTAAAGTATTGTTTACTGTTCTCAGATGTTTAATTCATAGATTTGAGATGTGTCGAATGTAGTTTTTGTAAAATGCTATTAGTTTTTTGTGAAATGAATGATCCTTATACCAAGCTGCTTGCCTATGTCCTGTAGCCCATCCACTTGTGCGGTCTACATGTATCCGGATGTCCTACCAGCTCTCTTTGATGGTGGAGATCTGGTAGTATGTTTGATGAGTGTTAACAGGTGTCTTATACAGTACCATGTTACAAACGGTGCGTTGATACAGGTAATGATGGAGAACAGGAGGGCTCTAAAGAAAAACAAAGTCTTGAGGCCGGAATCTTCTGGTTTGTAGGCGTCAAAACTGTATGTTTTTATAATGCAATAAGTACTTAAAAATATACATGTATTTCTGGATTTTGTTTGTATTCCGTTCTCATGAAGGTACCATGAGTAAATTACGACTCTACATGCTTTGTAAGTAGGAAACTTGCAAAATCGGCAGTGTATCAATACTTGTTCTATGAAAGAGATGTGTATTTTAGGGTAATCTTCCCTCATTCTGTTTCTATGACAGATGCCATGGAAACGGATGAGTTGCTCCTCTTGCTCATTCAAGGTGTGGCTGTGCATGTCAACATGTTTTACTGTCTGTCTATTCTATCCTCCATTGAACTGCTGACATGGACTGGTATATTTGAGTATGGTTTCCATAACCTACGTACCCTGTGACCTTCTCCTCCATAGCATGTGGTCATAGTGGCCAGACACCAGCCCAGGGGACTCTGACTCGAGGGGGTTTGCAGCGGGCAACAGAGGCTACAGGTACAAACGGACACACACTCACTATGGCCGACCATGCCTTTTAAGGATAAAGACAAAAGGCCTGACACTCAGTAGATGCTGCTCCCAAGTGCTTTGTTTCTTGTGTGTGTGTGTCTTACAGGGCAGCCAAAGTTAAAGCCCAGAGAATAGGAGAGGTGGTACGGGCCTTTGCTGGTGCATACTACGAGGACCACATCAAACCAGTGGCTGACCCCTACATGGACTGGGCCTCAGCCTCCACCAGTTCCTTCTGGGACAGAGTCAAGGAAAAGATCGACCAGTACAGACCCATCTAATGGCACCTGAATCTAAGGCAGACAAACACCCACCCAGCTCACTGCTAGCACATATACTCATGCAAGGTGATACTAGGACTGATTCTATGTTCATATGCACTAGGGATTACAAGTAGGACATTTGTGTTACAATGTTTTAGAAGAGCACGTGAACACTGCTGTATGATTTGGCTGGTGAATGACGACACCCGTTTATTAGTGTTACACTAACCTCAACACAAGGGTTGTGATAGTATTAAAACTGCCCTAGTCTAGTAGTAATCATACCGTTATCAAACAAGGGTCACATATTGCATCTGAATGAGTCAATTAACTATTGTGAACCACCAAAATGAAGCAACACTAAATAAATAAAAACATTCAATAATATCATTATAGTGTTGAGCCTTTTCATAAACTTTCCCTTGACACTGTCTACACTGCCCACATTCATCAATCTCTGAACTGAATAAAGTAGAAAGTTGAGAGAGACTGAGAAAATATTTTAGAATAGCAGAGAGAGAGGCAGAGAGAAAGCAACAGTGAACGACAAAGAGGAAGAGATAGAATGAGACCGAAAGAAAGAGACAGATGGAGGGACAGACAGACAGATGAGAGAGAGAGCCAGACAGACATACATACAGAGACATCAGCGATGGGAGTGATGTCTACAGACTGTGCTGAAATCGAAGTGTTGCCTAGGTGAGAGTTGACAGTTGAGATACAAGGTTCAGCAGGTGTGTCTGGCAGGAGGGGAGATGTGTGTGACCTGCAGGCCGTTTCCTTCAGCTCTCTCTGTGTGGACTGCAGACATCGATCCTGGAACACAGTCAAGACACTCAGGGCCCTGTTCCAATCAAAACCATAATCTGACTAACTGGGATACATGAAACACATTCAAATAGACAGTGAGAAAGGACCTTAGCATGAATAAGCCTTTGAGATTCTTTTTGTTATACATTGTGAAGAGAGTTTTGTTGTTGAGTTCGTGAATTATGAATGTGTGCAAGATTAATGATTTGCAATTAGTTACATAGAGGCAGTCAAGCATACTGGTTTATGTTCCACACAAATGCTGGCAAATCAATTATAATGCTTAACACGATCATTCATTCAAACAAAAATCTATTTCATGCACTGATATGTGAACGTTTTTGTGGGGGAATTGACGCTTTCCTACATATGCAGAAGAGTGCATTGCAGCATAAATAGATTTCAGAATCCAATCAAGTGATAATCTGGATGCATTGCATCACTTGTCTGGACATACATATGAGGGGACTCAAGTGCAATGGACTTTGTGTAGGCGAACGAGTGTGTGGATGTTTGTCCCATAGGTACAGTGGGTTCTGGTGAGTCTGGGTGCGTGGGTGTGTGTGCGTGCGTGCGTGTGTGTTCGTGTAGGTGTTTGTGTGCGTGCATACTCATTAGATGACGTTTATTTACAGTCCTCCCTATATCATGGTGTCTACTTGTCCAGACTGCTTTACAGACAACTCAGCCACCAGAGAAGAGTGTCATTTATTTCACTGGGATCTGTACACCCACTACAAAAGGAGGTAATATTTTTCTCTGTCTTCGCTCAACTTTTATAGATACATTATTTCAATGCTCTAGTAATCTCTAACATTTTAAATTAATTAATGAATTAATGAATTAATGACTCATGTATTTTAAGATGCATCTTCCTTTTGTATCAGTTCTAAACAGCTTATCAGTTTCATTGATGCCTGATCAGAATGGTCTGGTTTCTTGTCTAATAAATAGGCAGGCATTGCATTGAAATCCTATGTGGTTTGTCTTTTTCTTTCAGAGATGAACGGAAAATTGGCATTAGCCTTCGTGCTTGCGCTTCAAGGTAAGACCATCAATTGAACAACCCCATGCCATGATTAGATAGTGAAAAACACACCAATCTCTTTCATAATGTCTTTAAACAATAAAAGCTAATTTGCCAACATTTATGAAAATGGATATATAGCGTTCATTCCAGCTGTTTATAAAACAGAAGGTAATAGCTACCTTTGACCTGCAGCTGTGAACCTGTCAGTGACAGTGAGAGAACATGTCAGCAACAGGAATGTATAGCAGTTAGTTGCATGCTTATCTGAGAGGTGATAGGCTTTGAACTATAGGCTGACCACATTGAGCAGTGACACTATGGACATCGAACCCCACTGCTACAATATCAGCAGAGATAAGAGAGATCTCAGATGTCAGGTTGAAATGGCCTTTGATTATTACAGCCAAGTTTACTCATCATGAGAACGATCAAAACCCTGTGACTACCTCCATTACACAGACACAGACACAAAATCAACCTTACTCACACACACTGCCTGGTTATGCGAAGCGTATTAGTATATTAGGGCTATTTTGTGGCTAAAGTTAGTCCAGTGGTTTTAGATACTCAATAACAGCAGTCAAGCAAGTGCAATTAATTAATAAAAACGATCTTTCCCCTGTCTCCCCTCCAGTCTCTGTGTGCCTGTGTCAGGTACCAGAGCCCGACAAGGAGCTGGTGGAGAAGTATGAGGACATGAAGTCTGTGTTCTACAGGAGGCTGCTGAACGCCTACAGCAAGTTGCAGGCTGCTGTGGGGCCTTTGACTGAGAACATGGGCCAGGGCCAGGCTGCCAAAGACTACATCGAGGAGCTGCAGGGCAATCCCAAATTCCAGAGCGTTGTCAAGATCGGAACGTGAGTGCCCCACCCCGACTCACCCGAGTTACTTGTCCCGTCATCCCATTGAGTCGATCTGTCAGTCTGTCGATGTCCTTCTGTTGTCCTGCTTGTTTGTCTGTCTATCCGTCTGATGTACTGTCAGTTCTTCTGTCTATCTGTCCATAACTTTGAAGTAGGACTTCAAATGATTATAGGATCTTAGATACTGGCGCTTCATGCCTATCAACATGTTACCTAGATATTTTACCATTCTCCATTAAACGTTCACCACTGGACACATCAGAACTTGGTTAAAATACTATTTCAGGTATTTCCATTACATTTCAAAACAAGTATTCAGATCATCTTTATTTGAAAAAACAAGTAGTTGGAAATACACTTGGAAAGTATTTGAAAATTCTCAAATACACTGGCTCAAATACACTCCCATGCATTTAACCCAGGTATTTGAAATACTTTCAAATACAATTTGAAAGACTATTTGTTTCAGTTTTCTCAATTAACCATTACAATACTCAATTAAAAGTACTTGTTTTGGGCTGTGTAATTCAGAATACTCAAATACACAGATATTTATTTTAAAATAAAAAAATACTCAAATACACATGTATTTGAACCCAGGTCTGAGACACATATGATGGCTGTTAACCTATTACATTACTGACATCCCCTCCTGTCTTTGTGTGTGTGTTGTCCAGTGGTCTGGCCCAGGAAGCAGCACCCTTGGTGGACAAGGCCCGTATGGCCGGTCTGGGTCTGTACGGACACTACGTGCGCCCCCATGTCGGCACCTACCTGGATGAGGCCATCAAATCCATCAAGGTTTACCTTGACAAACTCCTGCCTGCTGAGAATTGAGCCCTGGATAGCCTCCGTCGCATCGGACCACCCCACACGCTTGTACCTTTCCACACAGGGCTTGGCTCTGCTATAGCTGTGCTTCTGATACATGTATTAAATGGTAGAAGGGGGAAATACCTGAAGGTGAATGAGAAGAGAAATGCACAATGCAAAACGCATCCCCTCCCGCTTTCTATGTCAACAACACTTTCCTAGACATGACTATTCAAGGGAAACGAAGGTCAAAGCATGGTGGATAGGAAGACTGACATCTTGCAAGAGCTTTAACATTGTGCATGTATATAACTACGTGTTTGATACTCTAACAGGAGTTTGTGTGTGTGTGTGTATGTGTGTGTTTAATAAAGATCTGAAAGTTGAAACTCTTGACTGATACTTGAGCATTATGTTTAATTAGAGTATTTGGTGCAGAAACATTTTTACTCATCCATATGAATAATAATATCATGAACCAGATTTAAAGAAAGATACTGCAATGGAAACATTTTGATCAAACTGCTTAATTGTTTAGTTATTAAGAAGTGATGGTAGCACTTTATTTTAGGGCAAAGAAATTACCAGTTATGTATTTATTATTAATATTATTAATTATTTAAGAATTCCATGGTAACATGGTATATACACAATAATATCCTATAAAAACATATATGTTTCTTTGGATTTCATTCAAACAAGCACCATTTGGTACCAAGAGGTTAAAGCTGCATTCTGAGATTTTAACACACAACGAAACTGTAGCCCGTCACTAGTTTTGATATACAGCTGAGGGATGGGGCTACATTCATAAATTCATAGACAGCACTCTAGACACAAGGACTGACAGTCCATGACATCCACATGATAGTTTTAAACATAGTTGGACACTATATTGCTTGTTCACGTTCCTGTTGTTTGTTAACAATGTTTCAATATGTTATATTTTGAGTTATGAAAAAGCCGGGTGTGCTAAGCTCAAGTTATATTCTTTAAGAAACTATTTGTAAATATCAATAATTGAGATGGCCATTGAACAGATTTCCTGATCCCAGACTATACATTTCACTACCAATAGTGTTTCTTTAAGTAAGTAGCAGAAACTACCCACTGATATCTTGTCATTTTCTACAGGAAAGGACAGAAGAGAAGAGAACAGAACAGAACAGAACAGAACAGAAGAGAACAGGACAGATGAGAACAGAACAGGACAGAAAAGAGCAAGACAGAACAGGATGGTCTAGAACAGTACGTCTGCTATTGCTGCACTGTTTCACTACACCCTCTTGCCAGGTCGCTATGTAGTTTAGTATGTTCTTGATAACCTAATTGGCTAAACAAAGGTCCTCAATTAATAAATAAGACACATACAACAACCAAAATTAGTTTAATGAGTTTGATCTTCAATCTCATCAGTGCTTGACTTGGGCAGGAGCTCATCGGAGCTGAGTACTGGCACCTCAAATGTTCTACTGCTTGAGCTCCTGTTCCTCTTATAGAATATTAGCTCAAAAGTATTGTGGAGCTCCTGCACCTAAATATAAACAGTACCAGCACCCAAAATGAGTACGGAAACCTATTTTAAGTCAAGCACTGATCTCACTCCAAAAGCTAATTCTGTGGATGTGTGATTGGATAATGATCAAGGGCATAACTGGTTGGACTGGTGTCACGACATTCCCCATTGGACCAATGATCAGTGAGAAGGGATATGGTCACTCAGTAAGGTTTTTGCTTTATTGCTGCAGATGATATAAGAAAATGTGCATTACTCTGTCCTTGTCCATTCCCTTGCTATGTCAACTGATATATTTATTAAGACCTTCTATTCAGTCAAAGCTTTTCTTTTTACAGCAACTCTCAAAGTGATTTACAAATGTTCCCTCAGTTTACCACCACCACTCCTACCAGAGACCTGTGTGCCAATGTTTGATCCATACTGACAGTAGTGTTGGGCAATTTTAAGATTGCATCTTCTATCAACAATATTTGACAACCATTGTCGATGGTGACGACATCGTGATGTCACAAACAATTAGCATATTTTAATTTGACTGCACCTCCAGAGTCTGGCAGCTCACAACAGAGCAGTGTAGTGAGCACACAGCAGGGCGACATGCCAAATGGCCCATTCCCTATTTGCCATAGCATAATACATTTCAATACATATGCGGTAGTTAGACTATTAACAAAATGCAAGAGAACATTGTAGATACACACAATACCCCATAATGTCAAAGTGGAATTATGTTTTTAGACATTTGACAAATGAATAGCTGAAATGTCTTAAGTATTCAACCCCTTGGTCATGGCAAGCCTAAATAAGTTCAGGAGTAACAATTGTGTAGGCCAGTGACATAAAATCTAAATTTAATCCGTTTTAAATTCAGGCTGTAACATAACAAAATGTGGAAAAAGTCAAGGTGTGTGAATACTTTCTGTAGGCACTCTATAGGCCTAACAAACAAACAATTGCAAGATAGACTAATTGCATATGAAGTTTAAACAAACCTGGTACGTTTCTGCTTTACTTGACCAAAGTATAGGCAAAATAAAGTGTTCCGTCGGAAAGTCAATCACGTGTCAATGTTATGAATCCAATTTGTACAATATTTTACAAATGTATTGTACTTAAGATCCCAGACTGCATCTTTACTTTCAGTGGTAGTGTGTCATTGACCTATAGTTTACCAGCACCACTTGGTGAATCTTTGTCCTAGTTTACCAGCACCACTTGGCTGCAGTGGAGTCTGTGAGAACCTGTAGTAGCCAGACCAATGTGTCAATTGGTGATCTAGATTTAGGACTGTCTTATTAGGATATGTTGCATTACATAAGGAGGTGTGGGCTTACGTATTGGGAGGGGGTTGGTGGGAAGGGGTGGTGGTGGTGGTGGTGGGGGTCGTAATCTGAACACTAAATGTAATATGAATGGGTTACTCTACTGACCTAATAAAGACCAATGAAAATCAATCAGTCCCCAATCAAATCCAATCAGCAAGCAGGATAACTTGTTCTGTTACATTTCAATACACCTATCTAGATTGGCAAATACACAGATTGCCCCACACTAAACTCTGACACTAAATCAACAAATAATGAACAAGTTACTGTTTTCAACGTAATTTGTCAACGTATTGTGACTTAAACTGTTGTTTTGAGGGTGAAATTTCAACCACAGGATTATGTCATTATGATAACCAATTTTCAACATAGACAAACCTTGTATAAAATATGTTGAATTTGTACCTTTGAAACAACGTCAGATCTTCAATGTAATATCCACCATCAGAAAAAAACAATAGGCTGGTCAGCACCTCCTACTGGAGAGTTGATCTATCTACAGCTATCCCTTTGGTTTCCCATTCAGAGTTTTAACCAAGCCCTGCTTGACTTTGATATTTGTCACTGACTATTACCAATGTGCTATCGTTGTAATGAATACTCAGGGAGAAAAAGGTGTAGATTCACGCGCAGAGTGCGGCAGGTGTTTATTACGCCTTCGTAGAAGGCAGGAATCGTGGTCACAGGCAGGCAATGGTCATACACAGGCAGGCAAACAGGCAGGTGAAACAAAACTAGGACAGAAGGCTAAAACTGGTTCTCACAAACGAGCTAGGAAAGGCTTAGTACAGTCAAAACGAACAATACCTCACAAGGCACAAACAGAAAGAACTGAACTAAATAAGGAGGTGATGAGACCAGGTGAGTAACTAACACAGGTGAAATCAATGAACAAAAATGAAAGACAGGGCTACGTTCACGAACACAAAGAAACAGGGCTACGTACAAGAACACAAGGTGAACTAAAGAAAACAAATACAGAACCTTACAATCGTGAGAATGATTGTTGAGAAATCTCCACTTAATAGATTAATTGTTGTTATTGAAGTCATTCCAAAGTATAGGTTTAACAGAGGAAATGAAATGTAACCATACATGATCAATTACATGTCATCAATGATGCTATTTAGGCTTTATAGCATTTGGGAAGTCATCAACAGCTATTGTTTCAATTAAGCCCACGATTCAACTAAAAATAGACAATACATATAGGCCTAGGGTTTCAAGTTTGGTTGATTTAAAATTGAATCTATAAGGTAATAAATGTGTTGGATTCACGTCTCCATCTCAACAAAAAATCAAAGTTACAGAATAGGACTAAATCAAATCAAATTGGATTTAAAGTGCATTTAAAGTTTGATTTGATTTAGTCCTAGTATTTAACTTAGATTTTTGTTTGAAATGGAGAGTGAATCCTACATATCCATTACACATTTGTGGACAAACTGGAATTAAAACCAGACTCAGTGGCACAGATGGAACTATCTAAGCAGTAGATACATCTCCTTTAAATGTTGATATTTGGTTTCATTGTCAACCAAACACAATTCAATATTACTTTTGTAATACAGTAAATAGCCTAAAGTTAGGGCTATCTTATAAACTAATGTAACAGTATTTATTCGACCTTCAAATGATTAACACAACCATGGCCACATAATAATCTGTGCAGAATCTCGAACGGTATTGATCACTTGCGACATGTACTTGAATGTAATCTCAACTGCAATCCAGGTCATTTGGTTGTGCTACTAGATGAAGCACAGTGATAACACATTAAATATGCTACACATAGGATTTGGTGTTTTACTTTTACATTGTAATTTAAGAAAATGTACATAATATATCTGCAGTTATAGTGGAATGATAGTGTTTCACAGTATTACTTACCCGCCAGTGTTGTGATTGGCTGTGATATTCGCCTATTGATTTCTCCCGCCTGAGCGGCATCTTTTGTCAAACTGGAAAAGCTGTTCTGACATTGTGGCTGTGTTATCTAGTGGATATCGCTCTGTCATTTCCTGGTTGCTAAAATTCTACATTGTTTGCTCAATTTCAGTTTATGTGAGAAAACAAGCACTGAACAATGTAGGGAATCATTGTACCATCTAAATCACTGTGAAATATCTTTTCAATAACCAAAAATATCATTTTTATAGCTGTTTGAAGCTGGTGGACCAAATACAAAGGTAAAAGGCTCAAGCGCAAGTCTTCGCCAGGAGGGGGATATTTGTTTTGAATGCAGCCCAGTGCTGTTGCAATTCACCTAGCACTGGGCTGCATTCAAAACAAGTCTCCCTGTGAAACACTATCATTCCACTGTTACTGCAGATATATTATGGATTTTATTTATTTATTACAATGCAAAAAAAGTATATATATCCTATGTGTAGCACCTTTAAGTTGCTGTATAAAATAACTGACATTGTATTGCCATTTGAAATTTGTTGTGCTTTTAAATGGTTGAAAGCACAGTGATAACACATTTAGGTGACAACTAAACAAAAAATCTGACATTGATTTTCCATTGGAATTTGGTTCCAATGCTTTTAGATTGTTTTTGCTTTTAGATTGTTGAAATCATAGTGATATCGCATTGGGAATTCAGTGAAGTCAGTGAAAATAGGTTGTAATCTCATTGATCAACGTATCAACCAACTATTACCCAATTCGCCACGTTGAAATGACGTGGGGATAGCATCTCCATCTTTGACCCTGTTTACACTCTCTCTCGCTCTCTTCATCAACACCTGGACAGAGGAGTGCACTTTGACTCGGAGAACGACAAGTCAACACATCCCCACTCATATATATACAGGCTAGCTCACCACTGGCTCTCAGCTACTGCTTGCTATTCATTTCTGTCACCCAGTACGGAGAGGAGAAACAGTGAGTACAGCCATCTTCTTTTGATTCCCCATCATCTTTAGGTTCTCACACCTGCATGGAGAAAAAGAAAACACCTCTTACTAGTGTAGTTACTTCAAGGTGCACGTGATGATAATATCACTGTTACAAGGTGTTGTGTTGTATTATTAGACGGGTAAACACATGTCTGTCTCCAGACTGTTGGACAAAACGCTCTCTGGGAGAGATCAAGTACAGGCTCTTGAGAGGGGTTCCAACTGTACAGAGTAACTAAAGAAATAATGGCATGTCTATATGTTGTCTGCTGTATCATAGTGGGACAGAATCCCAGAAAGACATGTTGATACATGATTTGTCTGACCCTCACCAATATGTTTTCTTTGCCCACAGATCTGAGTGACATCATGAACAAGATTTTGGTCATCACTGTGCTCATAGCACTTCTGGGCCTCAGTAAGTACACAGTCAAGACCCTGACTGACTGACAGCCTGACTGACAGACTGGTGTTGTTCCAGGGTGTCTTTTTGCAGCCTCACTGTGCATCCCAGAAGGTTGCCATATTAGTGTGGCTCTTGAAACATTTAAACTTCTCCAGACTGAAAAAAAGTCCACCTGGAGCGTCACCATCGACTGACTGACTGACAGACTGACCAACCAACCATTTTGAGCCGGCTAAATGTAGACTTTCACACACACTTTGAACCTCTATCCCTAACCCTCCCCTCCCTTCCAGGTGCTCAGGGCATCCGTTTGCCCAGGCAAGCTGAGGAGAGTGAGGCTCCAGAAGTGGTAGCTGAGGAGCGCGCGGCTGAGGAGGCCGTGATTGAGGAACCGGCCCCGGTGGCTGATGTTGCCGAGGCTGCTGAGGTTGTCGAGGCCGCTGCCGCATTAGAGCAGGGAACCCTGGGAAAGCTGGCCAGCGCCATCAAGAACTACTACGAAACATCCGTCAACACCGCCACCGGCTGGCTGGAAAACATCAAGGGCCTGAAGCTGCAGGAGAAGGCCAAGTAAGATACACACACACAGACAAGAACAGCACAGCAAGTCAAGATAGCAGGCTGACAACTAATTTATTGTCCATGTGTCCATCAGGAATGCCTACATTGACACCACCACCGCAGTGAGCACCTACTCTGGCATCCTGCAGGACCAGGTCTACCACATCTTACACCAACAGTAAATATAAATCCTTGCTTCCCTCTGCATCCTCAAAGTCCCTTGGTGAGGAGACCGTCACAGCTGTGGGCCCCTACTCTCTCCGCCACCCTCCCCTAACACACCACTCTGAACTGGCAAATCACAAGAAAAGAGCCCTAATGTTTCACCACAGGAAACCCAGGAGGGCAGAAACACAGTGCATGTCAAATTATAGTGGTGCCCAGTGGTGCAGTAGACTCAAATGACTCTGACGTCAGACTTCAGGAACATCTGGAACAGATTGAAATACTGTATTATTTTATGTCAACAAATTATCTTGAAATAAAAACATGAATTTACAAAAAAACAGTAGACCCTATGTGTTTCTTGAGACCACTTCGTTCAGTTTTGTATTATTAGACAAAGTTGTGTAATGTAGGATATGTTCATGCTTATCTCCCAGAGTTGTATGATGAACATTACAGACCAGTACAGAATAGTACCGAACAGAACAGAACAGTCCAGAACAGAACAGTACAGAACAGTCCAGAACAGAACAGTCCAGAACAGAATGTCCAGAACAGAACAGTCCAGAACAGTACAGTCCAGAACAGTCCAGAACAGTACAGAACAGTCCAGAACAGAACAGAATAGTACAGAACAGAGCAGTCCAGAACAGAACAGAATTGTCCAGAACAGAACAGTCCAGAACAGTCCAGAACAGTACAGAACAGTACAGAACAGTCCAGAACAGAACAGAATTGTCCAGAACAGAAGAGTCCAGAACAGAACAGTCCAGAACAGTCCAGAACAGTACAGAACTGTCCAGAACTGTCCAGAACTGTCAAAAACAGAACAGTCCAGAACAGAACAGAATAGTCCAGAACAGAAAAGAACAGTCCAGAACAGAACAGCCCAGAACAGTACAGAACAGTACAGAACAGTACAGAACAGTACAGAACAGTCCAGTCCAGAATAGTAGAGTACAGAGGAAGGATAGAACAATATATTTCCTGAACTGGGCAACCGAGTCTCACAAGTCCAACACGTTTTTCCCACTACCAGAGAGAAATACAGCAGGCATACAGGTGGTCCAACACAGAGTGCAAATATTTTGTCTGCTGTTGCTGCTCTGTTTCACTTGCACCCTCTTGCCAGGTCGCTATGTAGTTGAATATGTTCTTCATAACCGCCTTGGCTAAATAAAGGTCCTAAATTAATAATCAAATAAATAAGACACATACCCCAATTAAAATACGTTTAATGAGTTCGACTTCAATCTCACTCCAAAAGCTAATTCTGTGCCAAACCGATTGTATAATGATCAAGGGCACGACCCTTCCCATTCGACCAATGATCAGTGAGAAGGGATATGGTCAAGAAGTTTTTGCTTTAGTGCTACAGATGACCTAAGAACATTTGCATTACTCTGTCCTTCCTTGACAATTCCCTTGCTATGTCAACTGATACATATATTAATATCTTCTATTCAGTCAACGCTTTTCATTTTACAGCAAATCTCAAAGTGACATACAAATGTCAAGACATTAGGTGCATCAGTTTATCACCACCACCTACCAGAGAACTGTGTGCCAATGTGTGATCCATACTGACAGGGCACAAAACAACCTGACGTTGTGACAGGGAATCAGGTGACTAGAGTGTTTACACAGCACTAAATTGAGTATACAAAGAAAAGGGGCTTTACATATTAAGGCAAAGTTCAGTATTTCACAACTTATTGTTGAGTTTGTAGTGTCTGTTAAAAGAAAACTGAAGCATGGATTACAGTTTCTCCTGACCCATAGACACCTTCAGGGTGAGGAAACGTCTAATATGAAGTTGGACAAAAATACTGAACTCCCCCGTTAAACCAATCAAGTCTAACACGGGAAATGTAACATAATACTGGAAATGTACAATCATACTCTATTGTAAAATCACTTAACCTCACACACACAGCCAGGACAGGTTATTAGGAGGAGTTTTTAGCTAAAAGACCATGGCAGATTCATCATAATGCACCTCAAGATTTAAATTATACAGTTTAAACAGCCCACAGCTACAGCACTGGGCTTCAGATTAGATATTCAGTGATAACAGATCATGCTGCCCCACCATTAACTTTCACTGGTAGTGAGTCATTGACCTATAGTTTACCAGCACCACTTGGCTGCAGTGGAGTCTGTGAGAACCTGTAGTAGCCAGACCAACGTGTCAATGGTGATCTAGACTTAGGACTGTGTGCTTAGGCATGGGAGGGGGTAGGTGGAAGGGGGTGGTGGTAGGGGTTGTAATATGAACACAATATATAATATGAATGGGTTACTCTACTGACTTAATAAAGACCAATGGAAATCAACCAGTCCCCAATCAAAACCAATCAGCAAGCAGGATAACTTGTCTTGTTATATTTCAATACACCTATCTGGATTAGCAAATACACAGATGTCCCTACACTAAACTCAAATGATACTAAATCAACACATTATGAACATGTCACTGCCATAGCATCTCCATTTTGACCCTGTCTGCACTCTCTCTCACTTACTTTATCACATATACAAACACCTGAACAGTGGGTGTTTATCTCTGAGGAGTGCACTTTGGCTCGGAGAACGACAAGTCAACACATCCCCACTCATATATATACAGGCAAGCTCACCGCTGGCTCTCAGCTACTGCTTGCTATTAATTGCTGTCACCCAGTACGGAGAGGAGAAACAGTAAGTACAGCCATCTTTGTTTGATTCACCAGCTTTTGGTTCACCATCTTTCTGTTCACCATCTTCTTTAGGTTCACACACCTGCATGGAGATAAATAAAACACCTCTTACTAGTGTAGCTACTTCAGGGTGCACGTGATGATAATATCACTGTTATAAGGTGTTGTGTTGTATTATTAGATGGGTATTACACATGTCTGTCTCCAGACTGTTGGACAAAACGCTCTCTGGGAGAGATCAAGTACAGGGTCTTGAGAGGGGTTCCAACTGTACAGAATAACTAAAGAAATGATGGCATGTCTATACAGATGTAGGAAACGCAAACGTGTAATTTAACATTTCAGACTTGATTTGTCCTAACAAAAAATGTATCAACCCCTACAAAAATGTCCATTAATTATGATCCACATAATAATTCACATTTCCTGTTTCTCCAGGATTATTTTCCTGCTGTGAGAAACTGGTCAAATTAAGATCCTGCATCTCTATGTGGTCTGCTGCATCATAGTGTGACAGAAACCACGAAAAATGCTAGTTTCATTGTCATTAAAAACATTGCCAACCTAAAAATAGCCTTACCTTAGTCATTGGAAACCTGTTAGAAACATGTTTGCCATCAAAAATAAGAGATTAGATGAGGCTGAGATGAGATAAGGCTAAGAGCTGAGCTGAAAAGGAGGAGGAAATGATGCCACCTAGTGGACAAGTTGATACATGATTTATCTGACCCTCAGCAAGATGTTTGCTTTGCACACAGATCTGAGTGACATCATGAACAAGCTTCTGGTCATCACTGTGCTCATCACTCTTCTGGGCCTCAGTAAGTACACACCCAAGACCCTGACTGACTGAATGACAGACTGACAGACTGATTGACAGACTGGTGTTGTTCCAGGGTGTCTTTTTTGCAGCCTCACTGTGCGCATCCCAGAAGGTTGCCATATCATATTAGCATTTCGCATCACCCACAATAACATCTGCTAAGCATGTGTATGTGAACAATAAAATGTGATTTGATTGGAAACGTTAAACACTCCAGACTGCAAATAAGAGCACCTCGAGCGGCAACATTGACTGACTGATAGACTGACCAACCAACCAACCAACCATTTTGACTCTCTAACCCTAACCCTCCCCTTCCAGGTGTTCAGGGTCTCCGTCTGCCTAGGCAAGCTGAGGAGGGTGCGCCTGAGGAACCGGTGGCTGATGTTGCCGAGGCTGATGCAGAGCAGGGAACCCTGGAAAAGCTGACCAGCGCCGTCAAGAGCTACTACGAAACATCCATCAGCACCGCCACCAGCTGGCTGGACAGCATCAAGGGCATGAAGCTGGAGGAGAAGGCCAAGTAAGACACACACAGGCACACACAAAAGAACAGAACAGCAGGTCAAGATAGCAGGCTGACAGTTAATGCATTGTCCATGTGTCTGTGTGTCCTGCAGGAATGCCTTCATTGACACCACCGTGGCGGTGAGCACCTACTCTGGCATCCTGCACGACCAGGTCTACCACATCTTATACCAACAGTAAAGACCCTTCCTGGTTTCCCTCTGTGTCCCCAACGTCCTCAAAGTCCCTTGGTGAGGAGAGCGTCGCAGCTGTGGGCCCCTACATCCTGGAGCCTCTGATCAGGTCCACCGGACCTCCAACCCTCGGTGACGTCCCCCTGGAGTCTGTGTAGATTGAAATACAGTATTATTTGATGTCAACATTTTACATTTTAGTAATTTAGCAGAGGCTCTTATCCAGAGTGACTTACAATTAGTGAATTCATATTAAGATAGCTAGGTGAGACAACCACATATCACAGTCATGGCAAGTACATTTTTTCCACAATAAAGTAGCTATCAGCAAAGTCAGTGCTAGTAGGAAAATCATTTTTTAAATGTTTGTTTATGTCAACTTTTCTTGAAATAAAAACATGCGTTTGTAGAAAACCAGTAAACCCTATGTGTTTCTTGAAGGGCATTATTCATATGAGTCAGTATGAGCAATGTGCTTAGTGTTGCATTATCAGACAAAGTTGAGAAACGTAGGCTATGTTTATGCATTTCTCCCACAGGTTCGTGACATCAATCAACATCATTTTTATAGCTGTTTGAAGCTGGTGGACCAAATCCAAAGGTAAAAGGCTCAAGCACAAGTCTCCGCCAGGAGGGGGATATTTGTTTTGAATGCAGCCCAGTGCTGTTGCAATTCACCTAGCACTGGGCTGCATTCAAAACAAGTCTCCCTGTGAAACACTATCATTCCACTATTACTGCAGATATATTATGGATTTTATTTATTTATTACAATGCAAAGAAAGTATATATATCCTTTGTGTAGCACCTTTAAGTTGCTGTATAAAATAACTGACATTGTATTGCCATTTGAAATTTGTTGTGCTTTTAAATGGTTGAAAGCACAGTGATAACACATTTAGGTGACAACTAAACAAAAAAATCTGACATTGATTTTCCATTGGAATTTGGTTGTGCTTTTAGATTGTTGAAATCATAGTGATATCGCATTGGGAATTCAGCAAACTTTTGGCTGTCTTTTTAAGTCAGTGAAAATAGGTTGCAATCTCATTGATCAACGTATCAACACACTATTACCCAATTCGCCACATTGAAATGACATTTACATTTTAGTCATTTAGCAGACGCTCTTATCCAGAGCGACTTACAGTTAATGAATACATTTTCATACTGGCCCTCCATGGGAATCGAACCCACAACCCTGCCGTTGCAAGCGCCATGCTCTACCAACTGAGCTACACGGGGCCACATTACGTGGGAATAGCATCTCCATCTTTGACCCTGTTTACACTCTCGCTCGCACTCTTCATCAACACCTGAACAGAGGAGTGCACTTTGACTCAGAGAACGACAAGTCAACACATCCCCACTCATATATATACAGGCAAGCTCATTGCTGGCTCTCAGCTACTGCTTGCTATTAATTCCTGTCACCCAGTACAGAGAGGAGAAACAGTGAGTACAGCCAGTGTTTACACAGCACTAAATTGAGTATAAAAAGAAAAGGGGCTTTACATATTAAGGCAAAGTTCAGTATTTCACAACTTATTGTTGAGTTTGTAGTGACTGTTAAAAGAAAACTGAAGCATGGATTACAGTTTCTCCTGACCCATAGACACTTTCCCCCGTTAAGCCAATCAAGTCTAACACGGGAAATGTAACATAATACTGGAAATGTACAATCAGACTCTATTGTAAAATCACTTAACCTCACACACACAGCCAGGACATGTTATTAGGAGTTTTTAGCTAAAATACATTTTACATTTACATTTTAGTCATTTAGCAGACGCTCTTATCCAGAGCGACTTACAGGAGCAATTAGGGTTAAGTGCCTTGCTCAAATACCATGGCAGATTCATCATAATGCACCTCAAGATTTAAATTATACAGTTTAAACAGCCCACAGCTACAGCCCTGGGCTTCAGATTAGATATTCAGTGATAACAGATCATGCTGCCCCACCATTAACTTTCACTGGTAGTGAGTCATTGACCTATAGTCTACCAGCACCACTTGGTGAATCTTTGTCCTAGTTTACCAGCACCACTTGGCTGCAGTGGAGTCTGTGAGAACCTGTAGTAGCCAGACCAACGTGTCAATGGTGATCTAGACTTAGGACTGTGTGCTTAGGCATGGGAGGGGGTAGGTGGAAGGGGGTGGTGGTAGGGGTTGTAATATGAACACAATATATAATATGAATGGGTTACTCTACTGACTTAATAAAGACCAATGGAAATCAACCAGTCCCCAATCAAAACCAATCAGCAAACAGGATAACTTGTCCTGTTATATTTCAATACACCTATCTGGATCTGGCAAATACACAGATGTCCCTACACTAAACTCAAATGATACTAAATCAACAAATTATGAACATGTTACTGCCATAGCATCTCCATCTTTGACCCTGTCTGCACTCTCTCTCACTTACTTTATCACATATACAAACACCTGAACAGTGGGTGTTTATCTACGAGGAGTGCACTTTGGCTCGGAGAACGACAAGTCAACACATCCCCACTCATATATATACAGGCAAGCTCACTGCTGGCTCTCAGCTACTGCTTGCTATTAATTCCTGTCACCCAGTACAGAGAGGAGAAACAGTAAGTACAGCCATCTTCGTTTGATTCACCACCTTTTGGTTCACCATCTTTTGGTTCGCCATCTTTCTGATCACCATCTTCTTTAGGTTCACACACCTGCATGGAGATAAATAAAACACCTCTTACTAGTGTAGCTACTTCAGGGTGCACGTCATGATAATATCACTGTTATAAGGTGTTGTGTTGTATTATTAGATGGGTATTACACATGTCTGTCTCCAGACTGTTGGACAAAACGCTCTCTGGGAGAGATCAAGTACAGGGTCTTGAGAGGGGTTCCAACTGTACAGAATAACTAAAGAAATGATGGCATGTCTATACAGATGTAGGAAACGCAAACGTGTAATTTAACATTTCAGACTTGATTTGTCCTAAAAAAAAAAAAGATCAACCCCTACAAAAATGTCCATTAATTATGATCCACATAATAATTCACATTTCCTGTTTCTCCAGGATTATTTTCCTGCTGTGAGAAACTGGTCAAATTAAGATCCTGCATCTCTACGTGGTCTGCTGCATCATAGTGTGACAGAAACCACGAAAAATGCTAGTTTCATTGTCATTAAAAACATTGCCAACCTCAGAATAGCCTTACCTTAGTCATTGGAAACCTGTTAGAAACATGTTTGAGATCAAATAGAAGAGATTAGATGAGGCTGAGATGAGATACAGTGAGGGAAAAAAGTATTTGATCCCCTGCTGATTTTGTACGTTTGCCCACTGACAAATAAATGATCAGTCTATAATTTTAATGGTAGGTTTATTTGAACAGTGAGAGATAGAATAACAACAACAAAATCCAGAAAAACGCAATCAATCAGATTCCAAACTCTCCACCATGGCCAAGACCAAAGAGCTCTCCAAGGATGTCAGGGACAAGATTGTAGACCTACACCAGGCTGGAATGGGCTACAAGACCATCGCCAGGCAGAGAAGGTGACAACAGTTGGTGCGATTATTCGCAAATAGAAGAAACACAAAATAACTGTCAATCTCCCTCGGCCTGGGGCTCCATGCAAGATCTCTCCTCGTGGAGTTGCAATGATCATGAGAACGGTGAGGAATCAGCCCAGAACTACACAGGAGGATCTTGTCAATGATCTCAAGGCAGCTGGGACCATAGTCAACAAGAAAACAATTGGTAACACACTATGCCGTGAAGGACTGAAATCCTGCAGCGCCCGCAAGGTCCCCCTGTTCAAGAAAGCACATATACAGGCCCGTCTGAAGTTTGCCAATGAACATCTGAATGATTCAGAGGAGAACTGTGTTGTGGTCAGATGAGACCAAAATCGAGCTCTTTGGCATCAACTCAGCTCACCGTGTTTGGAGGAGGAGGAATGCTGCCTATGACCCCAAGAACACCATCCCCGCCGTCAAACATGGAGGTGGAAACATTATGCTTTGCGGGTGTTTTTCTGCTAAGGGAACAGGACAACTTCACCGCATCAAAGGGACAATGGACGGCGCATTGTACCATCAAATCTTGGGTGAGAACCTCCTTCCCTCAGCCAGGGCATTGAAAATGGGTCGTGGATGGGTATTCCAGGATGACAATGACCCAAAACACATGGCCAAGGCAACAAAGGAGTGGCTCAAGAAGAAGCACATTAAGGTCCTGGAGTGGCCTAGCCAGTCTCCAGACCTTAATCCCATAGAAAATCTGTGGAGGGAGCTGAAGGTTCGAGTTGCCAAACGTCAGCCTAGAAACCTTAATGACTTGGAGAAGATCTGCAAAGAGGAGTGGGACAAAATCCCTCCTGAGATGTGTGCAAACCTGGTGGCCAACTACAAGAAACATCTGACCTCTGTGATTGCCAACAAGGGTTTTGCCACCAAGCACTAAGTCATGTTTTGCAGAGGGGTCAAATACTTATTTCCCTCATTAAAATGCAAATCAATTTATTACATTTTTGACATGCGCTTTTCTGGATTGTTTTGTTGTTATTCTGTCTCTCACTGTTCAAATAAACCTACCATTAAAATTATAGACTGATCATGTCTTTGTCAGTAGGCAAACGTACAAAATCAGCAGGGGATCAAATACTTTTTCCCCTCACTGTAAGGCTAAGAGCAGAGCTGAAAAGGAGGAGGAAATGATGCCACCTAGTGGACAAGTTGATACATGATTTATCTGACCCTCAGCAAGATGTTTGCTTTGCACACAGATCTGAGTGACATCATGAACAAGCTTCTGGTCATCACTGTGCTCATCACTCTTCTGGGCCTCAGTAAGTACACACCCAAGACCCTGACTGACTGAATGACAGACTGACAGACTGATTGACAGACTGGTGTTGTTCCAGGGTGCCTTTTTTGCAGCCTCACTGTGCGCATCCCAGAAGGTTGCCATATCATATTAGCATTTCGCATCACCCACAATAACATCTGCTAAGCATGTGTATGCGACCAATAAAATGTGATTTGATTTGAAACGTTAAACACTCCAGACTGCAAATAAGAGCACCTCGAGCAGCAACATTGACTGACTGACAGACTGACCAACCAACCAACCATTTTGACTCTCTAACCCTAACCCTCCCCTTCCAGTTGTTCAGGGCCTCCGTCTTCCTAGGTAAGCTGAGGAGGGTGCGCCTGAGGAACCGGTGGCTGATGTTGCCGAGGCTGATGCAGAGCAGGGAACCCTGGAAAAGCTGACCAGCGCCGTCAAGAGCTACTACGAAACATCCTTCAGCACCGCCACCAACTGGCTGGACAGCCTGAAGCTGAAGGAGAAGGCAGAGTAAGACACATGCACGAACGCACACAAGAATGGAACAGCAGGTCAAGATAGCAGGCTGACAGTTAATGCATTGTCCATGTGTCTGTGTGTCCCGCAGGAATGCCTACGCTGGCACCACCGTGGCGGTGGCCTACTATTCTGGCATCCTGCAGGACCAGGTCTACCACATCTTATACAAACAGTAAAGACCCTTCCTGTGTCCCTCTGTGTCCCCAACGTCCTCAAAGTCCCTTGGTGAGGAGAGCGTCGCAGCTGTGGGCCCCTACATCCTGGAGCCTCTGATCAGCTTCAGTCTGTGTAGATTGAAATACAGTATTATTTGATGTCAACATTTTACATTTTAGTAATTTAGCAGAGGCTCTTATCCAGAGCGACTTACAATTAGTGCATTCATATTAAGATAGCTAGGTGAGACAACCACATATCACAGTCATGGCAAGTACATTTTTCCACAATAAAGTAGCTATCAGCAAAGTCAGTGCTAGTAGGACAATAATTTTTTTAATGTTTTTTTATGTCAACTTATCTTGAAATAAAAACATGCGTTTGTAGAAAACCAGTAAACTCTATGTGTTACTTGAAGGGCATTATTCATATGAGTCAGTATGAGCAATGTGCTTAGTGTTGCATTATCAGACAAAGTTGAGAAACGTAGGCTATGTTTATGCATTTCTCCCACAGGTTCGTGTCATCAATATGGTTATGTGTACATCATGTCTCAGAGCTTACAATATGGACAATATGCAGTCTCACAATACCTACTGTCAGTGGCGATTTTAGCATGTAAATCTTGGTGGGGCAAAAAAATACAAATGTGGGATGCATGTCAGCAAAGCCACTACACAACACAACACTAATCAATACATTAATTAAACTATAACGGTGACAAATGGTGCCCACAAACTGAGTCCCAGCAGCAGTCCACACACCTTACCACTGCTACACCTGGCTATCAGTGGAGCCTTGTCTGGGAGCGAAACAGTTCATTCAGCCTCATTTACTGCCTTTAAAAAAAACATAGCTGATATGGCTGACTTGCTTAAACAATTGTGTTTTTTACTGACAATTGAGATGTACAAACCATGGCATAAGGGGAGGACAAGCGGATAAGAGGCAATCCGTAATTTCGATTAAGACATTAATGAGCAAGCCAGGACGGACGTAGTCAATAAAACTATTTGTTCAGCACTTTTGAAATGTACAGCGACAGAATTCAGAACAGGGGCCGTTCTTACAGTGTTCTCCCTGTACACCAAGTCAGAACCGTAGGATAAATAAAGGGGGCATATGAGCAGACAATGAAAGCTCTTACAATATTCAATGATTACATTTCTCTAAAACAGGTTATAGGCTACATGTGCCCACCAAGTCAGAACAGTAGGCGAAATTAAGGGGTGAAAATCGACCAAATTATTAGGGGCTACTAACAGCTTACTACACAACATACACTTAGTATTACTTTCTTAGCAACAGTATACATATCTCCCTGGCATATTACATCATTTATGCAGCAGCATATAAGACATTTTTGGACTCACCTTGTTGTGATGTGCTCACTTGAACAGGAAGGTGGTGCGGTGGTCCTTCGTGGGCAAATTTTGTTATCAAAGAAAGAGAAAGAGGCCGGATTTATAATTCCGAGTTGGATGACCGTTCAAAACATATATTCTCAGTCTGAGCTCGTTTATTCCCGACTTCCCAGTTGCAATGCTTGCAGTTAGCCACTGTCACCGATTCCTTCCAAACCACTCATTGTTGAATTTGCGATTTCCAACTTGTTGTGTCCAATTTGTAAGTCGCTCTGGATAAGAGCGTCTGCTAAATGACGTAAATGTAAATGTAAATGTGTAATGTTTATGTCCAATGGCCGATGAGCACCGATACCTTTTATCTATAATTTCTCTTCATTATTTCTCTTCATATGACAAGGATTAAAAAGGATTTGCCAGTAGATTGTCGACTTGATTCATGATGATGACTGCTAGCTAAGATTTTTAAAGTAAGATGTTGACATGATCAGTCCAATCAAAGCTACTGTACATATAACGTGATTTGACGTCATTTTATCTGTGGCCAATGACCTTGAGCCTTCTTGGAAGGGCACTTCTAATGTAACTCTATAGCAGGACCCAAAGGGCTTGAATTTTCGATGTCTGCCCTTACTAAGGACTTGGCGGTGACGTAGTGTCCCCATGAGTGACAGAACACTGAGCCAATCACGGCGCAACGCTCCTATTTTCTGCTGGCTTGTCCCACCACAGAAAGCACTGAGCTAGGCTGAAACACTTGCATTTTGGAGCTGCCTTACTCAAGAAAACAAAAAAGAGACAATGTTTGTACGCAGCTTTATTAACTCAATGAGATATATATTTTTTTACATTGTTTGCAAACTGATATGTGACACGTATTAATGCCAAAATAACATGCAAAACAGGCAAGCCTAACCTACCACCTAACACTGAGTCAACTGCCTCTCCTCTGAATAAAAGAAAGAGGTCATACAGAGGAAAACGAAAACACAGAGGAAAACGAAAACACAGATTCCTGTGACTTGTTTCTGACAGACACGTTCTCAACCAGAGCTTGAGTTTCTAAATTAGTGGAAAAAAAGGGTGCCCTATGGGTTTCTGATCTCAGAAAGGTTTGAAGTGAGCTATTCATGATCCTTTTGAAGCTGCAATGAAAACAGACAGAAATAATACATTTTACCTCAAATATGATCATGTTCACTGAAGATGTAAGAGCCTGGAGCTACAAGATCACAGAGGAGATCTAAACACATCTTGAACTGTTAGTTAATCTCTTCATAGTGTTGTGACACTAGCAGGGATATGGCCAATCTGATGTAGCCTAAGTCAAAGATTCATTCAAACTGACTCAAAATGTATTCAAACTAAATACCTAAAATCCCTGATTAGGCTTCTTCTGAGTACCTGCATTTCCCCATCTTGGTTTCCCAATTACTCTCACACCTTTATCTGTCTCACAAGGCCACATTGTTACCTTCTCTTAGTAATCAAACCACAGTTTATGAATAGCTTCAATTGATATTACTAAACGAGGGCACAGCACAATGATACAAGGGGTTGCGTAATTGTAGATAACACTGAGTACTTTCATCACAGTGAAATATTAACTCTAAATGCTAGGGGGGGGGGGGGGGGGCTGACTAAATACTTTTTTTCCCCCACTGTACTTATGTCAAGAATTGTAAATTCAGTCACAAACATAAGAGAAGTGCCAGGAAAACGAAGCACAGGTGCAGCCCAGGAAGTCAACTCCCAGAGATCTAAAGGCTAGAGAAACAGATACATACACAGGTATAAAAGAACCACAGACTAAACCCAGAGTCTCATACAGAGAACAGGACATAATGAAGCTGCTACTGATGACCTTGGCTTTGGGGTGTGCAGGTAAGACTGTATTACACAGTATCTGCAGCATCATGAGACTGTTATGCCATGCAAGAGCATGAAGAATGATACCTTCTTTTTTTGGAGGCTAGGGAGGGAGATATACACTGAGTGTAAAAAACATTATGAACATTATGATCTTTCAATGACATAGACTGACCAGGTGAATCCAGATGAAAGCTATGACCCCTTATTGTCACTTGTTAAATCCACTTCAATCAGTGTAGATGAATGGGAGGAGACAGGTTAAATAATTTTTAAGCCTTGAGACAACTGAGACATGGATTGTGTATATGTGCCATTCAGAGGGTGAATGGGCAAGACAAAATATTGAAGTGCCTAAGAATAGTGTATGGTAGTACTTGCCAGGCGCACCGGTTTGTGTAAAGAACTGCAACACTGCTGAGTTTTTTCAAGCTCAACAGCTTCCCATGTGTATCAAGAATGGTCCACCACCCAAAGGACATCCAGCCAACTTGACACATCTGCGGGAAGCATTGGAGTCAACATGGGCCAGCATCCCTGTGGAACGCTTTCGACAACTTGTAGAGTCCATGCCCCAACGAATTGAGGGTGTTCTGAGGGTAGCAGGCTGAAGATGGGGGGGTGCAACTCAATATTAGGAATATGTTCTTAATGTTTTGTACACTCAGTGTACATCTATACTATGACCATTTGTCTCCCTTTCTCTCTCTCTCTTATTTAGCGGCTGTTCCAGTGGAGGAGGATGTAGCGTTGTTGCAGGAAGTTTGCCAACCCCACTCCAGACCCTGGCAGGTCTACCTGTGGAACACTAAGGGGGGCTGGTATGGGAAGGAAAGGTGCAGTGGTGCCCTCATCAACGAGTGGTGGGTGCTTACCGCCTGGAACTGCTTTGTCGAGTGGGTGTTCCCCCTTTTTTCCTTTCTTGAAATCAGTGTGAAAATGCATGCAGCCCATAAGTTCCTCTCCTCTCTACTCCACTCTACTCTACTCCTCTCCTCTCCTCCTCAAACCTGGCCACACTATGGTGTCTCTGGGGGAGCATGACCTGACGGTGGAGGAAGGGACAGAGCAGCACATCCGGGTGGCCAGATATGTGCAGCACGGGCCGTATGCACGAGGCCCCTCTCACAGTCTGGCAATGGTGAAGCTGGCAGAGCCTGCCCGGTTAACTCAGCATGTCATGCCTGTAGCCCTACCCACACGCTGCACTCAGCTCCATGAGAAGTGTCTGGTCAGCGGCTGGGGCTCCACCATACCGGGACAGGGTGAGTGGACCATAAAGCCAGGGGAGGGCTATATGCCTCAACCCAAATTAATGGAATAGATAAGCACCAAATAAACTCCCCTGAGTCCCTCTCTCTGTCCCTCCATACAGAAGTGTGAAACACAGCGGGTCATAGATGACAAGATGTGCCAGATAGCCTTGCCCGTTTATTGGATAGTACACACATTCTGTACTAAAACCCTCCTCTCAACCGACAATTGCCTTGTCAGTACATCAACAGCACATTACTCTGCAAACATTTATATTTGTATCTCTGGCTGTCACATTGGAACAGTATAAGAGAATAGTACGATCAACGAGCTAATCAAGATTTTCCTCTCTTTCTCTCTCTCTCTCTCTCTCTCTCTCTGGTGTGTGGGGGTGAGCTACAGGGGTTGTTCTGGTCTGGTTGTTCTGACATTGGTCTGTACACCAGCCTGTGCCTGTACCTTGACTGGATCAGTGACATCATGAACACCCCTGATCCTACACCTGAACCTGTGTGGACCACCACAGCAGCAGCTACAACATGGTGATTGAAAAGAAAAACAAAAAAGTGATATGTACTGAAACATTCTGTTCACTTGCCCCATTGAGTCTATCATATCCAGCATGCGTTTATTTCATTCACCAGCAGAGGACGACATATACTAACAATACTGGCCTATCACAAACCTCTGATACATTTCTTGCCTATAACAAGTCTCACATGACAGTTTTTCTCGATTGCTAAGACACATTTCTTGAAAGCTGCTCTCCTTTTCTCTTAACTGTGAACACAAAACCCAATTTTCAAGCTACATTCACAAAACCTCAGACTCTTCTTGCAAAACCAAACTTTCACCTCAAAACAGTTCAATCTGTGCTCAAAACTGAACTATGTTTTCAAATCGTGCCCCGAATCAATCAAAATAAAAAACACTACTGAACAGTCACTAAACACTACGTAGAAAAATAGAAAACACAATGCTCAGGACATGAAGCTGGAGAAATACATGTTTATTGTTCACTGTAGGCTGGTGAGTGAAACCCCACCTCTTTAAGGAACACCTGGGATAGGATAAAGTAATCTTTCTACCCCCCCCCCCCCCCCCCCCAAAAAACATATATAATTGTAAAGTGGTTATCCCACTGGCTATAGGGTGAATGCACCAATTTGTAGTCGCTCTGGATAAGAGCGTCTGCTAAATGACGTAAATGTGCCCTTGAGCAAGGCACTTAACCCTAATTGCTCCTGTAAGTCGCTCTGGATAAGAGCGTCTGCTAAATGACTAAAATGTAAATGTAAATGCATGTTGCAAAACAAAAAAAACCTGTGCATTTAGCACTTGTACAAAAAGACAAAACAGAAATCTTGTGCATTTACATGTAGCACTTGTAAAAACAAACAGAAATCTTATGCGTTTGCCACTTGTGTACAGTAAGCCCATGTAAAAATAAAGTACAAAAATATACAAATAAGTGCATTACTCAGCCACAGCATCATGTCTCCATCTGGGTCAGGCCACAGGACTTCATCCACATCACAGGCCACATTTTGTCTGGCCAGGCAACGGGGGAAAAAACCCCTGGCATGCCGAATCCAGGCTTGGCATGCCTCCACACCTATGTCACCACAGGCAAGTCCCATGGCTTGCAGGAGATTTACCCTGGTGTAAGGTTGGCGTTCATATACCTTCCACCGCCATGGGGAGAAGAATTCCTCAATGGGGTTTAGGAAAGGGGAGTACGGTGGAAGGCAAAGATTGATAAAAACCTTGGTTCATATTGTACCACTCTCTAACCTGGAGGGCTCTGTGAAAACTCACATTGTCCCAAACAACAACATAGATGGGATGCTCATCCTGCTGCCCTAACAAAGCATCTCGCATGTGATTGAGGAAAATGAGGAGCTGGTGAGTGTTGTAGGGCCCCAGGTTGGCATGATGGTGGACAACCCCATGATTGCTGATGGCAGCACATAATGTGACATTGCCACCACGCTGCCCAGGAACACCAACAATGGCCCGATGGCCAATCACATTACGGCCTCTCCTTCTCCTTTTGGTGAGATTAAACCCAGCTTCATCCATGTAGATGTATTGATGGGGTCTTTCCATTGCATCCAGTTGAAAAACCCTCTGTAGAAATATATATTTTTGTAAGTGATACGGAAAAAGTGATTTAGGTCACTACAGTAAATCACTACTTAGAGTAATCAACATTGAATGTGTCTGGATATATGCCAACCTGTAGATACTGGAATCTTTGCTCTTTGACTCTGTCTGAGTTGCGATCAAAGGGCACTCTGTATAGCTGTTTCATGCACAGTCTGTTGCGCCGAGGACACGATCAACAGTAGAGAGGCTGACACTGTTGATACCCTCAAAATTTAAATGGTCCTCAATGATCTTCTGCTGAATTTCGCTCAGTTTAATGGCATTGTTCTCACGGACCATATCAACAATTAGGGTCTCTTGGTGTGGGGAGAACATACCTGTCCTCCCACCCCCATGTGGCAGTCTTTCAATTCTACAAAAAGAGAACATGGAGTTACAAAAAATATACATGGAATACTAGGCCTACAAACAGTTAGACCAACCCTCCATTACAATACTACAGTACATTGGTACAGTGATGTACTGAAACATATATTTACTTACAGTATACTGTGGTACAGTATATAGTATGTCATACAGTAATTGCTGTCAACATTTACATACTGTACTATAATGTCAAAAAAAGGTAATTACCTGTTCTCTTCTCTAAATCTTCGGATTATGGTGGACACAGTGAATCTACTGATGTTTGGTTGTACCCTTTGTCCAGCCTCCCTCATGCTCATACCATGGACAAGAACATGGTCAATCACAGTAGCTCTGATTTCATCAGATATTACTGTTCTTTGTCTTCGCTGACCACCTCGACCACCTCGACCTCCTCTCACACGAACTCTTCCTCTCAGATTTCTATCCATTGTAGGGCCTCACAAACCAGTGCTCTCTGAACTGGCTTACTGTATATGTTCCCTCACATCATTAGCCACAAGTGTGATCAATTTTGAGTTGTTGTGTTCAAGTGGTGACAGCTGTGCTCTAATTGTGTTTGACTTTTGTCACCTGTGCTCACCATTATGCAGCACGGGTGCATCACAATGAAAATGTGTTGGCAAGTTATGTCTAAACAGGTGAATAGTGCTTATGGTTTTGCCAAAAGAGTGATTGATTCAATCAGTGGGTTCAGGCAACTGAGCATTTGGTTCAGACAATAGGGTTTAGTGTTTTAGCAATTGAGAAAAACTGTAACACATGGACATATTTTACCATGTAGAAAAATACTATAGTCTGCAGGAAGTTTCATTTCTCAATTACTCAGTTTACTTCTCCAAACACTTGGACTTGGACACCCCAAAGTATTTTTCCTGAAGAGAAATCCTCTAACCATCCTGTCAAGTTTGTCCTGTGATACATAGTTATTTTCATCACGAGCAGATAGCAATGTAGACTAATAATACTCAATTTGAGCACTAATGCACCACACAATCAATGTAAAGAGAGAGACAGAGTGAAAAAAGGAGATACGGAGAGTGAGAGATAGGTACAGAGAGAGAGAGAGAGAGAGAGAGAGAGAGAGAGAGAGAGAGAGAGAGAGAGAGAAGAGAGAGAGAGAGAGAGAGAGAGAGCAGGCCCTAAGTGGTTGAGATGATGTGAGAACAGGTGAAATGAGACCATTCTTCGCAAGGTTTTGTACGGGTGGGTCTAGATAAATATCACACTCTGGCACACAGACACGAACAAACACACATACACAAACACACACTGTGTGACTGACAGCTGTGCCCACTGACACTCAGTCTAACACTGGAGCCACTTCACCATCTGTTCTCCACCCCCCCCCCCCCCCCCCCCCCCCACCCCCGTTCCCCTCTTTCCTCCTTGTTCCCTCTTTCTGATCCCCCTCCTCCTCACCCCACCCTTTCCCTCCTTCTTTCCTCTTGCTCCACCTTTCAGGGATCTCTGACTCTTTCTATTTTGTTGGTCTCTCCTGCACTCCTTGGCTCGTCCATTCCACTCTCCTGCTCCGTCTCTAATACACTGAGATTAAACAACCTATAGAAGCATGTCTCTACACCTACTCTGTTTACAGTACAATATACTTTGCCCTTCTGTATGTATCCATGTGCACACTGCCCCTCTCATCCTTCTGTCTGTATCTATGTGCCCACTCCCCCTCTCCTCCTTCTGTCTGTATCCATGTGCCCACTCCCCCTCTCCTCCTTCTGTCTGTATCCATGTGCCCACTCCCCCTCTCACCCCCCCTCATTTCCTCTCTATTCCTCCCTCCCTCCTTTCCTTCCATCATACTATAAATTCTCCCTATTCATCTCTGTCCTCCCTTCCTTCCTCGCTCCTTTCAGTGATGTTGGTAAGCATTGTTCCTGCACTAGCTAAACAGACAGAAGTTTATAGTAAAGATAAGGTAACTGGAAATGTAATATAAGGATTTAT